AATAAATTGAACTAACAAAACGAGGAAATACTTTGTAATCACAATATGCAAATATTCACATAGGAACGTCCAAAGTAAATAGCAAATCCTGTTCGCTTCGGCTTAAAATGGTTTGTGCACCTTTCTTGGTTGAAAAACCTTTTGCAGTCTAGGATGCGGCTGTGCCAACTAACACAGAGAAAACTTCAAAACTCGCCCGACAGTGTTTACAAATACAGTTTTGGTCAAGCTTATTTTTAAACGTGAGGTTATAAGTTGACGACGAAAATCGACAGAAAACTTAATTTGTTTACAATATGCAACTTACCACAACCTCCACAAAGCGACTCACGTGTTACTGTTTAGGAACGAGCGAAATTAAAACGATGTAATTTATAAAATGCCTCACAGCGTGGCTTCAAATAAGGAAGACTTTAAAAAGGATTCTACTGAAAATAAGCTTATCTCGCCGAGGAAACTTCATAATTTTCATAGCAAAAGTCACTTACGGCAAGTTGGCAATTCCCTTCAGCCAGTGTAAATCTTCTAGGCAGAAACTTGCAGCAGAAGTTCAGCAGAACTGAACTAATCTTTTCGATAGATCCACGTATCAAACATTTTTTTTCCGCTGTGTTTTCTGTTTTGTAATTTCTCTAAACACACAGATGCGTTTTGTTTCTCTTGTTCGTCACCTGACTTTAATCATGTGACTTTTCTTGCATGGCTGCACAGCATCTCGACGCGCGAATTAACTTGGGAAGTTCTGTAGTCCTCGGGTATTTCACCTCCTTTCTATAGTCCTCGTTAGCTTTGCTTCACGGCATTGTTCGATATTATTTCATCTCTTTTCCCTAGCCCTTGACTCGCTATAATTCACGGCATTGTTCAGTACTGTTTCGCCTCCTTCCGCAGCGCTGGCCCGCTCTCTTTCGCGATCTTCTTCACTACTTCTTTGCCTGTTAATTCTTACCTTCTGTTTCTGTTTTTTGCTTCAGTGCAACCCCATCTTAAAAACGTTAGATCAACCCCCGCTATCGTTTGTTGACATAACAAATAGAAATGAATTTTCTTTTCTTTAAAAATCCCGCCAAAAAAAGATGCCATTCTTCCGTTCGCTCGTTTGTACGGTGACGTGATAACCAAATTTTCTCGGCTTGATGGGTTACCAAATCTGCTAAGGAATGGGGCTCCGTTCTTGTGAGCCGGTGGAGCTCAGCTATAAATCTACTAGTCGTTCAAAACTTTATCTAAATACTCTTCAGAGACATCTCGAAAACGCAAAGAAGCGGCCGTCATTCTTTGAACAAGCACGCACTGCTTCGCAACCTACTATCTATCACAGAATAGCTAGTAGCGTAGCCAATCAGAGAACGCAATTCGTGATAGAGCGCTAGTAGATTTATACTAATACTGAACAGGCACACGGCAACATGAAATTTATTTGTTAAAAAAGAAGTTTGCGCTAATTGTTTCTGCCATCCTTACTTTACACGCAAATTCACACTCCACGTCATGCATGAGCGCGCAATGACAGGGCAGATGGCCATTGTCAGAGCTTTGCCTGGATTGAACGAGCGCGGACGTTCGGTGATGCCTATTTTTCTTTTGATGGATCATTTTCTCTCCCGATTTTCTACGTTTTGCGAAAAAATGGAGAAAATCTATCGATTAGAAGTTTGAATTTTTTGCAAAATGCACCATCAAATTCCGTTCTTTTTAACTCTTCGTTTATCTGTGGCGTGGTTTCAAATGCCTCTTGAAGGGTTAAGTTTTCTGAAAACGTTGGCAACATTTGGAATTATTCACGCAGCAGACCCACTTCTAGAAAATATGACTAAGATCGTTTGCCTCCGTTGACTCACCTTTAAATTTTTTACTATATAAACCCCTGTAGATCTTGCTTAATTGCGTGTGCCAATTCTTCAAAATCAGGGTAGTTTTGCACACGCTTTATCTCTGAAACGAAGTCTGTGATCCCCAATTGTTTTGCATTTCTGACACAAGTAACTCATTATCTGACTGCAGTTAAAATTTTAAAGAAAATCTATCGATTGGAAAATTTTTGTGCGAACGTTTTTAAGTCACAATGCAGTTACTCAGATTAGCCTTAGTTTATCCTTTATGTACTGAAATTATCAGCGGGTAATGGGTGTGTTAAAGCATTTCCTCTGATCTAGTTGCACTAGTCCGAAGCATTATTGGAAGTGCTGGATTGTGGCACAGTGCAATTACATTTTTTTACTGATACAGTGTACTACTGCCCTGACCATTCAACCGTTAATGTCTCAATATATTTAAGCTAATAGTGTTTAGTGAAAAAAGGCAACAGTTCACCATACTACATTCTATTTAGCCTTGCAAGCATTAATTTTATTGTGCAGCCAAATATTGAGTTTTCAGTGAGGGTTAGTGAGCATTTCTTACATCGCAGGCCAAGTCATATAAATGTAATGATATAAATTTGCTCTCAGTCCTCGAAAAAGGTGGGAACAACTTCTTGCATGGATGCTTTAAAATGAACTTGGCTTCAGAAGGTTCTATTATTTAACCTTCATGACTCTAAACTATGAACTTTCAATCAGAAAAGGAAACAAAACCTATCATGCACTTAAACTTGATGCACTAGGTGTTGGTTAATTTTTTAACATGTAAATGAAGTCTGAAAACTGATACTAGATTTCTGCAAATTATAAAATAAAAAATTTGAATATTATTTATGGAGTTTCATTTCCTCTGACCTACAGGTGATTCATGCCTTAAACAATCTGTGTACCAGACTGGAATACCCACACAGAGGTAATTTGGACATAATGCTTATAAATATGTTACTATATGTAATTACCATAATAAATTAGTGCAGCTATAATTTATTTGCAATGTCTGACCACCGAGATAAATAGTAAAATAAAACCAATAAATCATTTTATATTATCTTTTGTTATCTATTTAACAAATAGATTCCATGTTGCCGTGCGTCTGTTCAGTAATAGATCACAGATGACGTCAA